GGGAGGTTCTGTGTGTTACACACACACACACACACACACACACACACACACACACACACACAAATCAAAAATTTAAAAATTATTATATTTGAGGAGGAAGCATGGAAATTTACATCATGCTAATTAGTAGAGGTGATAAACATTACCATTGAAATCTGCTTATCTTTTTTAAGTGAGTGCTGGGCATTGAACTCAGGCCCTCATACCTACAGCAAGTTCTTTACTGACTAAACTATCTCACCTGCCCCTAGAGACTGTTCTTCAGTGTCCACTGCTCTGTTTGAGAACGGTGACTCATGTTGTCTGCTGTGCTATGAGGATGGCAGGAGATTCCCATTCTTGCTTAGAGTTGTGTGTACAGTGAAATCAGAGTGCCACATGCTGTCTGAGAAGTTGAAATGTCCACTTTTGAGTTTGTCTCCTGCTTGCTTGCTATAGCCCCAAGCACATGACATCACTAGGTTCTGTGCATTCAAATGTCTATTTCCCCCTTAAATATGGTGGAGCTGTGTTAGGAAATGCAAGTAATGAAAACAGTTTGGGAGCCTAGGAAGCAAACTAGCACTTCATTTCACTCCAAGTCCTGTCAGACTGTCCTGTTCCTGCCTCAAAATATTCTCTCTTCCTTTCTCATACTTTCCCAGGCGAGGCCAAGTGGCTCCTGCAGAGTGGCATTGTCATCCTCCTTCCACATGGCTATGATGGGGCTGGGCCTGATCATCATGTCGAATAGAGCGCTTCTTGCAGGTACATGGCATGCCACTGGATTCAAAAAATATTTTCCTATTTCCTGGGTTCTTTGATATTTCATACTACCTCCTACAGATAGTTTCATGTGCACTTTATGTGTACATGTGTAAGGTGTTGTATTTGAATGAAATAGACTGAAAACGATGTGAACATTCCTTGGAAGCACAGTGCCTCAGATTTCATAATATCACAATGGTTTCCAGAGCCCAGTATGGTGGCTCAGGCCTGTAATTTCAGCCCTCAGGAGGCTGAGGCAGAACAGTCTTGAATTTGAAGCCAACCTGGGGTACATAAGAAAATCCAATCTCAATAAAAGTGGGGGAGATGGGAAGAGGGCTTTAGGAGATAGCTTACTTAGTAAAATGCTTGTTGCCTGAAAATGAGGACCTGAATTTGATCCTCACATTAAAAGCATGATTTGTACTTCCAGAACTAGGGAGGCAGAAGGAGATAGGAGGACCCCTGGAGCTCACTGCTAGCCGACTTAGCCTAATCTGTGAGTTCTAGGCCATGTGAGAGTCCTTGTCTCAAAAAGCAAGGTCTGTGGCACCTGAGGAAAGGAACCTAAGGTTCATCTCTGTCTTCCCCACACACCCATGCATACATATACATATACCTACACACATGTGTGCACCCACATGAGAACATGAAGACATAGACACACACATATGCAAAATGATTTCAGGGCTACGGATGTAGATCAGTGATAGAGTAATTATCTAGCATATGAGTGGCCCTGAGTTCCATCCTTAGCAACATCTACATGAGGGGTGGGTGAGAGAATGAGAATATAAAGAGGATTCCCATTGTTCCATTGCTGGGGAGGCAGAGACAGTGGATCCCTGGAGTTCACTGGTCAGCCAGCCTGGCCCAATTAGTAACCTCCAGGTTCAGCAAGAGACTTTGTCTCAAAAAATAAGTGGAGAGTGACTGAGGAAGACACCAAATGTTGACCTCTGGCTTCACATGTGCATGGAGCCTACATGCACACACATATATGCACACACGCACAACACATAAACATACACAACACACAAACATACACGCACATATACAACCAACAAGAACAACAAGAGAATGAGCTGGAAAGATAAGAAGTGGTACAAAGGGAAATAAAATAGAGCTTGAAGAAATCCTGTTGGTCATATAGCAAGGATATTACCATGTACCATTTTCTGAATGTGTTTTCCCAAAATTCATTCACTGAATCATACTCCCGCCCCCCAACCAGGTGATGGCATTAGGAGGTGAGGCCCTTTCTTCCATGTGAGGACACAGTGAGAAGGCACTATGTGTGAGCCAGTGAATGGATCCATATCAGACACCAAACTTACTACATGATCTTGGACTTCCCAGCCTCCAGAAATGTGAGAGATAAATTTATGCTATTCATGAGTAACCTAGATTTTGCCAGGCATACTGGCACATGCCAATAATCCCAACACTTGGAAGGTAGAGGCAGGAGGATTAGGAGTTCCAGTCATCCTCAGCTACATAGCAAGTTTTGAGACGCTGTCTCAAAACCATAGAAGAAACAATTACTCAGTTTTATGGCATTGTGTCATAGCAGGCCAAGCAGTTTAAAACAGAGACTGTTGAGGTAAAATGAAGAATCAAGTGTTAGAGCAACTAAAAAACTAGGGTATTGAAAGAATCGTCCCGTATATGTGAAAATGACCAAGACAGCTGGAAAACACCAAGTGTTGGAGTTCTTTTGCTCTATCCATATTGAAATTGTAAACAGGCTAACGGGAAATTCCTGGGTGTTGGGAGTTCTGGACTCTTGAGTGCCAAGAACCTCTGGACTTGACTTGTAGACCCAGAGGCTTACAGTTCTGGGCTGTGAGAACTAGAGGCTTCCAGCTCTAAGCTCTAGAGGCCAGAAGCTTACAATTCATGTCAGAGGCTTGCTACTCTGGACCTTGACTGTCAGTCATCTCACATCTGGATCAGGGCTGGGAGCCATGTCCTCAGCCTCTGTCATGCAGGAATCTACTGACAGGTGCCGCGACCCAAGACTCCGTCCAGCAGAGTCCAGGAGAGACGACACAGACACCAAGGTGAGGTTCAAGCTTCTTCTTCTTCTTTTTATTATGCACTTCAGTCCCCATTTATATAGTTCCCAACAGCCCTCCCCCCAGCCAGGACCAATCAGGTCACACACACACACACACCAGGCAGGCAGAGAGGCAGCTTATTGGGCCACATAGCAGGATCATGCTCAATGATGTCTCTGATCAGGCAGGCAGCACATGATCGGGCTCATTGCACTTGCGGGGGTTGGAGTAAACAAGCGAGGGTCACGAGACTCGGCAGCCAGCCAAGGCGCCTCAGGCAGGAAGCTTGGAGTCATGAGACTTGGCAGCCAACCAAGGCGCCATCTTTGGCTGACTCAGCCGTGCTCGCTTCCCCCACTTACTCTTTCTTCATAGAGAGATTGTTTTGTACCTACTTGGATCATTACGCCCACCTAAAGAGAAATTAGATATGGATGATTTCCTGGGAACGGAGTCATCTGATACTATACTTCCTCAGGTGTCTCTGTTCAGTCATCAAGAAGCCAAGACAGAGAAAGTCTTGGTCCAGTCAATCTCCCTCGGGTCCCTCCCATAGACAAGTCTAGGCCTGGATGCTTGAGTTGGCCTAAAAATGTGAGGCTGGGATAGACCTCTGATAATCACATGCATGACTAATCCCAATGA